TTGTGAATAAAAAAAAAAAAAAAAAAAAAAACACAATTCCATCTCAGGAGGTGTGTCAAGCACGTCCACACGAGGCACTGCTAACTTTATCGTAGACCCTGTTGAGAAGTCGGGGCACGACGGGGAAGATGGTGGGCTGCAGGGTCTTCATGTCATCTGGCAGGAGTTTGATGTCCCCCTGGAAGAACCCGACTCGAGCACCAGCACCAAATATGACAAACTGCAGGAAAATAAAAATGAAATAAAATCAGAGGTGGGGCACCCAGCGCTGGTCAACCTTGACAATACAATTCACCACAGAAATTCGTCACGACGTGTTTGGACTGTCGGCGCCATTGTCAAAGTTCGTTCCGGGTTAACGTGCAGCGCTGAACCTTTTAGTTCCAGGAACTAAATATCCCAAGAGCTAAAAGGTCCTTGGAACTGTATGTGGAAATATTTGGAGTTGAACAAGAATTCACTTTTACCCCAGTTAAGAGAATCTCTTACCTGCACGACTCTCTCAAACATGTGCGCCAATGGCAGGAATGAAATGGTGATGTCCTCTGGATTTGGAACAATGGATGTCTGCGGAGACAAATTAAAAACGATTTCATGGCATTTATCAACGACAAAGAGAGTTTGATTAAAAAATAAATAAACCTCAAAGGTTTTGAGGACACCCGCGGCATCAGCGACGACGTTCTCATGAGTCAGCATCGCACCCTTGGGATTTCCTTCAACAGAAGACTCGATCATTTGAAATGTTACAAAAACATGGGGGGCGGGGGTGAGTTAAGTTCCTCCGTTATGTTCACCTGTCGTTCCGCTGGTGAAGCAGACAATGCTGAGATCCTGCGGCTTTGGAGGCTGTAGTGGAAAAGCAGATAGAGTCTTAGCAGGAGCCATCATTAAATTAGCATCTCCTGGCGGGGGGTGGGGGGGACCAGCGAGGTGGCCTCAACACTATCAGAAGCACTGACTGACATTTTCATCATCTGGAGCAGTTCAGAATCAAAGTTGTGTGGCATTAGATTACATTTTTAAGATTAGGTTTCTATAGTTAAAACAGGCCCAAGGTACCAAATGCATGGCCCACTCCTGCATCCTTTAGAGTCCCAAATATGTGGAGAAATGGCTTACCACTGGCTTCTGGAGGTCACTTTTCCCTGCATCCTGCGGAGCACAACAAGAGAAATCTAGTCAACCCTTGATGAAGGAGCACGTGTCATTACTTTGGAACAGATGTGATGCTTTTGACACCTCCACATCCTGCATGGACACCACGTCCACTCCGCATTTGGCTCCTCGCTCAGCTAAGCCCGAGTCGAACGGGTCCATCACGATGACGGTTTTGAGGGCAGGGGTCTGGCCTTTCTCACAGTTCTGCAGCAGAACTTCCACCTTTTTCTGGTTGTCGCACAACACTGTCGAGATGCCGGCTAAAAAACACAGGAAATGCAATCAATATTCCAAGGGGGCCTTTGAACCACCTTACACAAGAGTTTGGATCTCCCGTGGGAACAAGGAGCTTAATTAGCAGCATTGCAGCCAATTACCTTGCTCGATAATGAACACCAGCGCCTCAGGACCCAAGGTGTCGTAGAGCGGGACCACCACCATGGAGTAGGTGTAACAGGCCATCTCTCCAATAATCCACTACAAACAAGCAGCACAATTAAGATCTCTCGGGAAGGGCATCAAAGTGCCGCTCGGTGACATTTTGGTTCACCTCGGGTCTGTTCTGAGCGAAGATGCCGACAAAAGTGTCGGGAGTTGGCTTCAAGCCCCTCTGAAGGAGCCCCGAACCCAGATGCTCCGCTCTGTCGGACACCTTCAAAAGGCAGGAGCGGCTTGAACGGGTCTGCTTGGGGCTTTCAAACACTGAGCTGAATTGAAACCTCGGGTTGGATTTTTACCTGCTTGTACCTGAGCCACTGGTACGGCCTTCCCATTTTCCTGAAGCCCAAACATGGCCCGTTACCTGTAAACATAATCAATGATGAGCGCTACGAATAATGCATTCACCTCTCCTTATTCAATTTTAGCCACACGAACCAGAATATTACATACAGTACACAAACCATTTTTTTAAGCTACCTGACACTTTCATGCCCCTCTGGAAGACCTCATAGAGGGTCTTTGCGTCATCGTAGTAGTAGGCCAGCAGGTTGTTGTTGTCCTTGAGCAAGGCCACCTTCCTGGCTCCATCCTAAGAAGAAGAGGTATGAAGAATACATCTTAAAAATTAAAAAGGTAAAAGGCATCTTCGAGTCACACCTTGATGCCCAGGGTTTGGCATTTGAGGTCGGCGGGGGACCGCAGCGGGGCGGGCCTGGTGTTGAGGTAGAAGAGCGTGGCAGCCGCCAGGGCAAACAGAGAGATGATAGCCGGCGTGGGGAGCGGCGAGAAGAGTAGCTGGAAGAGGGACTCCATGGCGCACTCACGCCTTCTGCTGGGAGACCCTTGCATCCAAAAAAAAAAAGGGTCAAGTCAGGTTCGAGTGCCTTGGCCACATGAATTGGGGTCAAAGTCAACCACTTGCACTTTGAAAATATATAAAGAACTTCCTATTCATTTGACAAAATAATCATAAAATAAGCTCTTTTGTACACTAACAATTTCTATGAATGAGCAGGACCATCTGTTTGCTTTCAAAAATCAAATGTGGACCTTGAGCACTAAAGTTTGCCCATCCCCGGTAAAGACTGAACAGCACCGGTGGTTCAAGGACAGACCCCTGTAGGATACCACCACTATGACAAGCATTCGCAACATTTGCTAGTTGTGAGCCACCTGATGTGAGAACGCAAAAATAGCAATCAAAACAAGTTCAGTTATACAGACTGCTAGAAATCAAATATTCTTACCGGTTGGTGGCTGGTCACGAAGTCGAACCTCTTCTCAGCTCTTCTTCAACCCACAAGAAGGAAAAATAAGAAGTCTTACTAGTCATAAAACAGCAACCTTTAAACTTTGACCGTGTGATAAAGCAGCACGAGTAGAGGCTCTTTATCGACTGAATTGTGTCAACCAGCCTATAAAATAAAAAGAAACCACCCACTGTTCATTTGAATTTACTCAATTTTAATATCAAGCAGTTGAAATAAAATCATCTTGAGCCAGATCATTTTTCTGCATTCACTTGACAGAATAAAATTGAGTAAGTTCAACCACCAATTTTTTTTTTCCAGGGTCAAAAGGAAGATGTTACGAAAATGGACTTAGGAAAATGTAATTCATAAGAACTTGACACAGGTGAGCCTTCCCATCATCAAAAATTGATCAGCACGGCAAACACTCAAACATGGTGGCGGCTTGTACTTGAATTGATTACGCAAACACACACGGCGTATCGGGCGGGAATAATGAGGCCAAACCCGTCAAACCGGTACATTCATGTGTGTGCACGTGTGTTGACGTGAAGGTTACCTGGCGGTACAAGCAAAGATGTTTGACGGCCGTGCAGACAGAGCTGGCAGAGGATCCCTGGTGGAAACGCGGCCTGGCCTCTGCCATTAATGTCGCACATAAGCACACATGCACACACGCACGCACATGCACCTGTGCTCATTAGCACTTCTGAATGCAAGCAGCTGTGTGTGTGTGTGTGTGTGTGTGTGTGTGTGTGTGTGTGTGTGTCAGCAGCAGCATTGTTTTTGTTGAACATGTTTTTTTTTTCCTCAATCATCTCCTCCATATTCATTTAATTGTTAGGAGACGTGAAACAAAGAAAACATATTTCACATTGCATTTGTCTGTGTGTGTGTGTGTGTGTGTGCGCGTGTGTCGAAGGCCGACAAAAGCGATTGTGATGAACTTTGACGCTTCCATTTATCAACACGGTGATAATTAACCTTTGGAATTTGTTGATAAAATCTCATCATGAGCATCAAATATGTCCTTATCTTTTTTTTTTTTAATCTCTCTCTCTCTATGCAGTACATATGATACATACTGTATGTACAAATATTTGCCAAAAAACATATGAATATACATGTATACACACAGACGCACCCGCGCACACACTTTTTCCTGATATTTTGGTGGAAATGTTTCGCGACATGTGAGGGCAACCAAAATAATAAAAACTCAGTTAAAGCAAAGCCACTCATCATTTTGTTTGTAGAGGCAGAATATTCCAGAGGTTCAGCCCCTCCTGTCCAGCAACACCTTTGGGTGTGAGGAGGATGGGGTTGCGATTTAAGCCGCGTGACATCAAGTCACTTGGTAGTGAAGGAGGATGAAGATGGGTAGATGGTCCTCGGGTGTCACACTGGTGCGTCACCTGATGCTCGCCCTGACGGCCGTCAAAGCCGGCGTCGGCGAAGGTCCCGGCTCGGCCCCTCCCGGCCTGAAGCTGCTGATCGGCTTCCAGGCTCCTTGGAACTCGTCGTTCCCCTTCAGTGCCCAGCGGCTGGGCTCCGCAATCCAGATCGCCGTAGACAAAGTGAACGGCAACCCTTCCTTCTTGGGCAACTACACATTGGGCTTCGTCTACATGGACACGGCCTGCAGCCCCAAATTGTCCTTAGCGGGCTTCATTCAGCAGGTGTGGAGGAACAACGTGTCCGCCGTCTTTGGTCCAGCGTGTCCGGAAGAAGCTGAGGTATGTCTCTTTTTTTTTTTTTTTTTGACTTTGTGTTTTATTTCAAGTGGTGCTATTTATTTCTATTGTGCATGTTTTTTTCCAAATAACTGGATTATTTCAAGAATTCAACGTGCTTGACGGTTACCCAAAGCAGTAATTCCTGCCCTAGTCAAATCCTGTCTGGATTACTGTTATGCACTTTACTTTGGAGTCAGCCAATCCTCCATTAAGTGTCTCCAGTTGGTCCATAATGCTGCTGCGTGTTTTGGAGTTCGTGTATAACTTTGAGAGGTTCTGTTTATTTCGATTGTTATGCGTAGGTGACCGGCCTGATGGCGTCCACATGGAGCATTCCGATGTTCGGTTTCGTGGGACAATCATCCAAGATGGACAACGGCGACGTGTACGACTCGTACATCAACGTGGTGCCGCCGCTCAAGAGGAGCTCCGAGGTGCTGGTAAAGACCTTGGAATTCTTCGGGTGGACGCACGTGGCCATGATCGGCGGCGGCCAGGATTCCAATACGTGGGACAAAGTGGACGCGCTGTGGAAAACGGTAGAGACGCCTCTGAGGTCAAGGTTCAAACTGACGGCTGCCGTCAAATTCGACACCAGCGACAGAAGCCTGGTTTACCGCAACGTAAAGTACATCGCCACTGTGGCTAGAGGTGAACTAACTCGGATTGGGGTTCGCTCAGTCGCTAACCCTTTACACGTAGGACTGTAATCAACACGAGTGTCATATCTCCACCTGCTATGATGTAAAAATCTATATTTTTGTGTGTGGAATAATGCAATTGTGTTGGCGTGGGGCACAGTGATTGTGGTCCTGACCAACAAGGAGGACTCTCTGACGCTGCTGTTCGAGGCCGAGCGTCAGGGCTTGATGGGCGGCGATTACGTGTTCTTCCTGGTGCAACATTTTGAGGTCAGTGGCGGCGTGGTGAGTAAAGTGCCGGCAACATCATCACACTCATTGAGAAGCGCGAACGTAAACGTCCGATGGGTAAAAAGTGAGTAATTTTTTTTAAATTTTATTATCCGAGCAGGACAACGTGTGGAAATATTCAACCAACGGCCAAATGAACCAAGCGGCCCTCCGAGCCTTCGATATGACCTTCATCATTGGCCAGAAATCGTACGAGGGCTACGAGTACTACGACTTTTTCGAGCAGGTTTTTGAGAGACTCAGAGGACCTCCGTTTCACAGCAACTTGACATCCGAGAGAGAGGTAAAAAAAAAAAAAGGGAAAAGAAGGAAAAGAGGAAGGGAAGATTGATGGCATCCATTTCAGGTGAGCACCTACTCAGCCTACCTGCACGACGCCGTGCTGCTTTACACCATGGCCTTGAAGGAGGTCTTGAGAGACGGCAAGGATCCTCATAATGGACGACAGGTTCTACAGAAACTGAAGAATAAAAATAGCATTCGCTTCTATGGTAAGTGAGCAGGGAGCTTTGCGTATCAAATTTCAAACGATGACTCAGCAAACAAGGTTCCTCTCGCAGGAGCTTCAGGACTGGTCCACTTTGACAAGGACGGGGAGAGAAATCTGGACTATTCGATTTACGACCTGCAGTACACCGGAGACGCCGCCGCATTTGTTCCCGTCCTCCATTTTGACAGCCACAGCAAAAGCATACGGTAATAAGAAACACAGTGCCGATGTAGAAGAAGATCCACAATGGAGTGAAAAGTCAAATAAACGTGGAATATGCCTTACAATTCAAAACAAAACGAGCAGATCAGGCAAAATGTGCAGGGGAAAAAAAAAATCTGCCTCAAAAGTTGAACAAAATTACGTTCTGACAAAATGAGGAAAAATATTCCTTCAAAGTTGAACAAAACTTGATGTTCAATCATAATAGCCTTTGGAAAAATATGCCTCAAAACTTGCAAAAAAATAAATACTTAAGGGGGAATAAGACTAAATATAAAACGTGGAAAAAAAGCGAAGCACTGTGAAAACTTCTCTCCTGCTGCGCCGTATCCAACGTGAACTGGAGCACGGCCTGATTTCAGGCCGACGACCATGTTCACCGCAGTCACCTGGCCCAAAGGAAGACCCCCGTCTGACAACCCCGAATGTGGCTTCAACAACGAGCTGTGCGAATGGCTAAGCAACGGTACGTTCAGGCAAATGCTCCCAATGGCTTTCCGGAAAGCGGTTCACTTCGTGCCCGGTTTGACTTGACTAACCTGCCTCGTGCCGTCATCACGTCACGTCAGATATCATCCTGCTGGGTCTGCTGGTCACGTTCCCCGTCATCGGCGTGTTGGCCGTGCTGGGCATCGGCGTCCTGGTGCTGCAGAAGCTGCGCCTCCAGACCAGCCTGGAGGACTCGCGCTGGTGGCTCATCGACTACGGCGACATCACCATCATCAGGGAGGCGTCAGTACGTGACTTTGGAGTCTGTTGCACATTGCAACGCGTTGTTTTGTGGAAGGTTTGATTGGGGCGGTCTCTATCCAGGGGAAACAGAGCGTGTCGCTGAGCACCTCCAGAACGCTGAGTGGTAGCGGAGGTTCGTACTCCACCTTGTCTCACAACAGTTGCGGCTTCAAGGACAAGAGGGGCAAAGAGCAGATCTACGCCACCGTTGGCCTCTACCAGGTACTAACAATGTTTGTCAGAAATAAAATATCACCCACTGCGGCCGTCTCCATCCTTTTGTCTCCGTGGTCGCTTTCGCGACGGGACGCAGGGGAATTACGTGGCCGTCAAGTACATCATGAAGGAGGTTTGCGAGAAACTCCAGCGGGCCTCCGTCGTCGCCGAATTCAACGTGGTAACGTTCTCCGGAGAACTCTTTGGCGACGTGTTTGCTCAACGGCGTGTTGCTAAATGGCGTCCGCCTCCGCCGAGACAGATGAAGGAGATGAAGCACGAGAACCTGGTGCAGTTCTTCGGCGCCTGCGTGGAGCCTCCAAACGTCTGTCTGGTCACGCAGTACTGCAGGAAAGGCAGCCTGAAGGTCAGTGCGGTGCATTATCCACCCCCCCTCCCCCAAAAAAAAATAATAAATTGTAGTGCTGCTGTTGTTTGCAGGACGTTTTGAAGGCTTCCGATGTGGAGCTGGATGGGATATTCAAGCTTTCCTTCGCTTACGACATCGTAAACGTAGGTGGCGCCTTTCACAGAGTGCTTCGAGACCCCCCCCCCCCACCACCAGATGTGACGCATGCCATCTCCCGCAGGGAATGGATTTCATCCACAAGAGCAGGCTCAAGTTCCACGGCAACCTCAAGACCAGCACCTGCATGGTGGACAGCCGGCTGCAGGTCAAACTCTCCGGGTTCGGCCTGTGGGAGTTTAAATACGGCGGTAAAGGCAACCGTGGCCCGCCGGGAACTCCCAAATATGAAGGTGATTACATGATAAGATGTCCACTGTAGTAACCGCTGTCCCCGAAAGGGTTAAAGGTCCTCGAAGGACAAACTCCTCTTGAGGTTTTTGCAATTTGGAAGAAATTAAAACCACATCTATTAGACAGATGGGTGACGCTCAACATTTGAATATTCATCTTTGCATGCGAGTGACACATGGAAGCATGCCTCAAAAGGAAAAGAAAAACAATAACTCAACCACAAGAATGTTTTGAAAATTCAGGGCCTTCAGCCAGTTTGACTTTGCAACATAACATTCGTTTGAGATTTGGTCTGATTGGGACCAATTTGGAAACACAGATGGACGATGCTCAGTTGTGAAACATCCAAATTTTTATCGTTACATGTCAGCGGTGCATGGGAGCAAAGTTTGTGGTGAATCACCGCAAAATGAAAATTGCAATCATTCAACCAGAAGAATGTTTGGAAAATTCAGTCAGCCTCAAGCCAGTTTCACTGAGCAACATGCAACTTGGTAGTCGGTTTTCAGTTTTTCTTTGAAGCGGCCTTTAAGACAAACTCCTCATTTAAAATTTTCTCTCAATGGAACGACATTCGACAGATGCTAAAATCACCAAACGCTTTGTTCTTGCCTGTAAGCAAAGTTGTATGACCTACCATTAACCCTTTCATGCACCCTGTAACCCGATCACATGATCAGCCGTCCACTATAGTCACCGCTGTCCCTGAAAGGGTTAAAAAAAAAATCAGTTAGTCTGACGAGTGACTTGTTGGCATCACAGGGTTGTTCTGGACAGCTCCGGAGCTTTTGAGACAAGTGGTCACTGAAGTCAACGGGACCCCCAAAGGCGACATCTACAGCTTTGCCATCATCCTGTGGGAGCTCATGTACAACTCCAAGAGCGGGCCATACCACGACGTCGACCTGGAGCCCAAAGAGATCATCGCGAGGCTGCGGGGGCCCTTCCACGGCGAGCCTCTCAGACCTCCGTTGTCCGACCTGTGCGACGACAACATCAACGCGTTGCTTCGGGTCTGCTGGAACGAAAACGCTGATCACCGGCCACCATTCAGGTCTATTCTAAGACAGCTGAAGGAAGCCAGCCCAGACAGGTCCCACCGTTATTTTTTTCTTTGCCTTTAAAGCATCCTTTCAACTGTCTTAAGTACCACTTTGTGTTTTACTCCCCCATCCGTGCTGCAGCCATGCAAACATTCTAGACAACATGGTGGAGAAGCTAGAAAAATACGCCAATCACCTGGAGGAGGTGGTGGAGGAGAGGACAAATCAACTCGTCACCGAGAAGACCCGCGCCGACAAGCTTCTCTCCAGCATGTTGCCGAGGTAACCGCATCGACGTGACCGCTTCTTCCAGTCACCTCGACGGTGACGCGTCGTCTCCCGCAGGTACATCGCGGACAAGCTGATGGCGGGGAAGTCGGTGGAGCCTCGCAGCTACGACATGGTCAGCGTCTTCTTCTCCGACATCGTGGGCTTCACCTCCATGTGCGCCATCAGCTCGGCCATGGAGGTGGTCATGTTCCTCAACGACCTCTACAGCCTCTTTGATGACATCATCCAGATGTACGACGTCTACAAGGTCAAAGAACAAGAGACAGTTGTACTCTGGGAGTAGAATGACGACGTTATTTGTATTTTGAGCGCTGACGACGAGCGCGTCTTCCAGGTGGAGACCATCGGTGATGCTTACATGGTGGCCAGCGGTCTGCCCATCACCAACGGCCAACAGCACGCCGTGGAGATCGCCACCATGGCCCTGCACTTCCTGAACGCCATCAAGCGCTTCCGAATACGACACATGCCTTCAGAGAGCCTGGCCATCCGCATCGGCGTCCACTCGGGTGGGAGCTCACGCCAAAAGAGACAAAGCCAAAAGGCTTCAAAGCATCCACGGGAGGATGGTTGTGTGTTTTTTTTTGTGTCCGGCAGGTCCAGTGGTCGCCGGAGTCGTCGGGAGCGTTTTTTTTTTTTTTGTTTGTTTTTTTGTTTGTCCCGGCAGGTCCAGTGGTCGCTGGAGTCGTCGGGAGCACGATGCCTCGCTACTGTTTGTTTGGCGATACGGTCAACATGGCCTCTCGAATGGAGAGCAACAGCTTACGTGAGACAGCCCGCAAAAAAACAGTGTTGATCTACTTTTTGGATGACCTCGTTGTTTCGATGCTGTATGAAACAAAATTGATTTTGAGGGCTGATTTTGTCTACGTACACAAATTGACGTTCGACCGATTTCCTTTACCGTTTCGTCAGCCTTGAAGATTCACATCTCTCAGTCCACGGCTGACATTCTGGTCCAGGTGGGATCATTTGAAAAAAAACATGTTGATCTACTTTTTGGATGACCTCGCTGTTTCGATACTGTATGAAAGGAAATTTCATACAGCATAGAAACAAAATTGATTTTGAGGACTGATTTTGTCTACGTACACAAATTGACGTTAGTCCGATTTCCTTTACCGTTTCGCCAGCCTTGAAGATTCACATCTCTCAGTGCACGGCTGACATTCTGGTCCAGGTGGGATCATTTGAGCTGGAGGAAAGGGGAGAAATTGAAATGAAGGTGATTTGAACACGCGTGATCGTGTGCGTTACATCCATTGTGTGACCATTCGGACCTTTTTTTTTTTGTGTGTCAGGGTAAAGGCTGCCACAAGACCTACTGGCTGTTGAGCAAACAGGGTTTCAACCCTCCTTTACGGGATGCTCAAAGACCTGCGCAGGCGGACGCGAGCCTCCAGCTGGCAGCAGAGGTACACCCGGGAGTCATCTTCATACTCCTCTTCTTGTTCTTGACGTTGCTATTGTGTTTCATATTTTTTGGGGTGTTTTTTTGTAGTGTGTCAAGGGAGCTGCGAAGAAAGCTGCCAGCGGGGACGTCGCCTTACCTCCAGTGGATGTTTAGTTTACCCGTGATAATAATATATGAAAATAACACTTATGTTTTTTTAATATTTATTTCTCAGTACTTCTCAAGCGGGCCTCAAGACACGAGAATCGAACGGAGGGTTTTCAAATACATTTTTATATGTGCAGTTGAAAAACAGGGATGATGATGATGATGGTGGGATCACAGCGGATCCTACTAAGCTACGAAGCTACGAAGTAGCGCATTTTCCGCTTTAAAGGACGCACGTAAAAGCACCGATTACGAGTTGCATGCGCACCAATTGTACAACAAGCGGATTTTTGTTCACTGATTAATGGTGTAAGCATGGCAGCACGTGTTGATTAGGATGAGCAGCAGGAGAGGCGGAGACGCTCCTGGATGACAAAAATAAATAAATAGTCACACGATTACACAATCACAACACACTCTCTCTCTCACACACACGCACACACAGACACACTTGATTCAATTTAAATGCGTTGTGACGATACGTGTATATTTACCTATGATGTGTCCTTTACCGGATGATCCATTAGCTGTGAAGACATTTGAATCATTTTTTTGCCATAAACTGAAGCCTTTTAGTGGTTTAATTTTGTTTCCAGTGACTGTTCTGAAAAAAAGTGCCGTACTCTACCTCTGATGTAAAATTCAGCAGTCAGGATACCGGCGTGTTGCTCGGCTTTTGGTGCCAGTCTCCTGGCTGGGCAAGGACTCTTCACAGGGGAGGAAATACGGCTTTAAGGACAGTCGTCTTGAACCGAGACAGACATTCTGACTCACGGGTTGACAGGCGATCCGTTCGCTGTCGCACACGTGGACCTCGCAGTGGAGCCACACGGTGGACACCTTCTCCTGGCCGCGGAAGCGGAACGAGTTGAACTTGAAGGTGGAGCGGCCGTCTTTGGCGTTCTCGAAAATGTTCACCGTGTCGTCGGATGGGCAGCTGAAGGGACACTTGTGAAATATGTATGCAGGCAGTACGTGGCAGGGGAAAAAAATGTAAAAAGGAGAAACAAGACAGAATAATCCAGATTTTTTTTTCCTCTGTGCACTTCTTAACTGTTGCTAGGCAGAATGCAGACCAATAAATATTAGCATTAAGTCACAAGGCGATGCTGTTACCGTGGCAACCTGGGGCAAAGGGCTCCAGACACACAACAAATAAACAAATTAGCATGGTGACTGCTCAACACCACAGAGAAATGGAAAAGGACAAAATTGGACAGAATTCCTATTTCCATACCTGTTGATTATGAGGCTCCACCTCCTCCTGTCCGTGGAGTAGGGTGTAGGCGTGGCCCAACAATTTTCAATGACCACGCGGAAACGTCCGCTCAGCCCTTTGGCCTCCACGCCGACAAAGACCTCCGAGCCGATCTCAGAGGTGTCAATCACGTATGGCGTCTCTTTGGCATACAGGAACTTGGCGTTCTGTGAGGGGGGGGCAGCACATTCCCGTCATGTCCGTGGACTGTCACAAGCTCCGCCCTCTTTCTAGGAGACTCACCGTGAACACACCCATGGATAACTGTGACTTAAAGGAACCCAAAGTACCGTTGCTGACATAGACGGTGGCCACTCTGGAAAAAGCAAAGGCATTTTTAATCCACGCACAACTTTTTTCCGAGGGCCTGGACGAGGTGTTTCCTGACCTCTGACTGAAGACGGCGTTGTTGACCAGGTAGGTGGCGCGGTAGACGCAGCTGAAGGTGTAGTTGACTGGCTGGTTCCTGAGCGTCAGAGATGTGTCGTTGGACACCACCGAGTTGAAGAAGACGTAGCGGGCGTCTTTGCCCGGGATGTACTGCCCAGGAAGAACCAGTTTGTGGTGAGAACACAAAGCCAAAAATTTCCATTGTTAAAAGTGCTCGAATGTACTCAAAAAAATGTACGAGCACCAACCCTAATGTTACCTAACCCATAAACCCTCATTATCTGAACCCGAAACCTTCTAACCTGAACATGAACCCAACCCAAACCCTCCTAAATTTACCCCATGACCCTGCCTTGCCCAAGCCCGAAGGTTTTGTTTTATGGTATGTGAGAGGGGGTGCGCCAAGAAATATTAAATGAGGCTGCCTAGTTTCAAGAATTTAGGAAAGGCTGTGTTGCTTCCAGGTCGGCTAGGTTTGCCTCTTTTTGGAAGATCAAAGTGGGTCAAGCAGCAGCAAGCCCCTCTCCTCCCCACGATGTCGTAATTGTTGTGCCTGCACCGGGCTGATTTTGGCCACCGTTCAAAAGTCGCACCGGCGTCACACAGCGACGGTCTCGCTGCACGGGGGAGACGGGATATTTGGCAGTAGCCGCGGAAGAAGAAAAATAAAACATTTCCTATTAAAGTCATGGCGCAAACATGGAAGTGCAACGCCGTGTCATCCAGATGTTGCTTGACTGACAAGCCTCAAAGCGGACTCACCACCGTGCAGAGCTCCGACGTGGCCATCAAACATTTCGTGCTGAGCGGCTGTAACCGTTGGCATGTTAGCACGCAACCCTCTTGACTCACCTCCGACTGGGTGCCGCAGTACGAGTGGTTCTTGGGCGTCAGGTCAGGGATGATGAAGCGGTAGTAACCGGAGCTGTGCACGCCTGTAGAGCACACGCCCCCCAGGGAGAGCTGCTCCATCTTCCATCCGTACGGACACTCGGGCACATTGGCGATAATGGCGTTGGGGAAGCACGACACCATCACGTAATCTGAAACGTTCGGACAAAGCACTGCGCTGTTATCTCGGCATCCTGGGGCGGAGGGATCCGCTGCCCCAAACAGTAGAGAAAGGACAGGTAGACTCCATAAGAACGGAACTAAGTGCAGTTTCATGAGGCAAAATCATTTCTGCCTAAGTGACGAACCAACAAGCAACTCAGTGACCATCAAAATGACCTAACCAACTAACTAACCAACCAAACATTGAATTCCCAAACTAATTATGAGATTGGCTGACTGACCAACTTATCACCTGAACAGCCAACAAATTGTCAACCAAACTAACAAACACACAAACTCACTAATTAAACCCAAAAGTTACCACCGAACCGTCCAACTGAGTTCACCAACCAAAAGTAAACAAGCAACCTACATTTATCCTACCAACTAACCAAGTTGTCGTTGCAAATGCTTGGTAGGACGGTGGCGAAATCCTGAATGAATTCTCATCTGGTTTGATTGAAGAGATGCCGTCACGTGAAACCGAGATTTATTAGCTGGCTCTGATCCACACGCACGTACAGGAGAAAAATTCCGTTGAGTGTGTTTTTGCTGCTTTGAGAGTTAAAAGTCTGGTTACCTGCTTTCTGGGGAACACAGGTCCACACCACGGGAAGCGTCACAAGGAGCAAAGCGGCGGTCATGATTCCATGCAGGACACAAATTGAAATAATTTGGCGGGGGGAGACTTGTTTACCTGCGCGCTGTCAGAGGACCCTCATGAGGACCCCCTGAGATAGCATTTGATGTATGCTCGCGGGCGGAGGTGGTCCAACGTTCCCACCCGGAGAGCCTCCATTGTGGGGCCCCGCCGACAAAAAGCCTTCTGTGCTGCTCGGACATTCACTTTTAAATGACCGGCGTCTCTCGGGACGACCGCCGCGACGCTTTTTGTCGGGATGGACCTGATGGAAAGGTGCCACTTTTGCTGCAGAAACTACATTGACAACAAAAAAGAAGCTTCTTCAACATGGTGAATGGCATTGAAAAAAAAACGTGTTCTAAAACTAACCCACAAACCGAGTAACTACTCCCAACTATGATACCAATTGAGTCATCAGCTGACTTATCAACCAACCGGCACACCAAGTAACTCACGATGCGCCCAACTGGCTGATTAACTAACTAACCAGTCTCAAAACGACAAATCACATTTCTTGGACTTTAACCATTTAAATGCCAGTTTTATTATTTTAATGTTTTTTCTTTAACAGAAAAAACAATTAAAAAGACATCTTCCTGACAACAGAAAATTGTTCAAAGCAAAATAAAATCTCAACAAAATATAAATAATTTGACGTTTGTGTTTTTGTGCATATTTTCTGAAAAACATTTGTACCCCAACCTGTTCAAGAGTGACAGAAAATCATTAAAAAAAATGCCCAAATGGTGCACAAGAGATCAATAAGCATCAGTCTTCAAAATCTTACCACTCTGATCTTTTTGCATTGCATCTGTGTGTACTTAATATTGTGGCCGACTTCAAACAAGAGAATGTGACTGGAAAGAGCACGGGAGCGTCTCGCTGCAAACGGCAGCTGATTAACATCTGAATGAGGTGCGCCGATAGCATCGAACGGCAGCTCGCGTTACAGCACGTATCGAATCGGCCCGCAGACATGCCCCTCCAGTTACAAAAAAAAACAAAAAAAAACTAAAAACTAAAAGAAGGACCAAAGTGTGACTCATAATGGGACTTTTTTTTTAATTGGTTCGTTTGGAGTACAGCAGACGTGTGTTACTATGACAACAGGTCAGTGTAGTGCTTCACGTGAAAAAAAAAAAAAAATAAAAAATAAAAGAAGGACCAAAGGGTGACTCATAATGGGACTTTTTTTTTAATTGCTTCGTTTGGAGTACAGCAGACGTGTGTTACTATGACAACAGGTCAGTGTAGTGCTTCACGTGAAAAAAAAAAAGAAACAATCAAAACAATGTGGGGGGGTAACAACAACTTTTATATACACTATCCTGTACAGTGGAGTTAATAAATAGCGTTTCATCTTGTGCTTGGTGTTAGCGTTCGGGAACTTGGCACGTCCAGTTTGTGCGCTCTGCCTGGTAAATAAAATCCCTCCTGGAAGACAACCAAGTGGAAGTTAGGTCACGATGACATGAGAATGAGCCAGTAAAAAATGAGAGTGATGGAAAAAAAAGAGATGAATGTTTTTTTTAATCCATCCCCCAAACGTCAAATATTTGGTTTAGGATTTATGGGAGTCACGGGCCTTTTTGTGTTGGTTTTGTTTTTAAATGAAATATTGTCCTCTCTTGATAAGCGGGGATAAGCGGATCACAAAATGGATGGATGGATGGATGGGGTGGATGGATGGATGTTGCAGTACTCACTCTCTCCCCCGCGGGGCGACGTTCTCCCGACACAGCAGCCCTTCGTCGCACGGACAGATCTGGTTGATGCTGAACGCCAGGCCGCCGTCGGGGACGTAGCATCCGTCGCCGCGCATCAGCCGACGCTTGCACACGCGCTCGCCGTGGTGGCGGGCGCAGCACATAGATGCTCCGCAGTCCCGGTCCAACTTGCAACGGGCGCCTGGTGGAAAAAAAAAAGTCGTGTCTTTTCAATCGGTAATGAACATTTTTTTTTTGTAAATGGCAGGTTTTTTAAATGCAACAGAAATATTTTAAAGCACACGATTTTTCACATTTTAATAAAAAATGAAATATAATTTCCGGTCCTTTAATTTTTTTTTCATTTCATTTGGCAACTGAAATGAAAATGGTCACTTACCCTCTTGCCCATTGGGAACACTGCGGTGGCACTTGCCAAACATGCAGCTGAGGCCCCGCACGCACTGGGCGTCCCTGCGGCAATAGTACCCCTCCCCACGGAGGGGCACGCACAGGCCAAAGTGACGGTCACAGGAGAAACCTCGCCCACAGGCCCTGTCGTGGTCACACGCCGCCTGTGGACAAGAGTCACACGTCACGGGTCTTTTTGTCAATCTTGACATGAGGTTAGAAAATAAGAAATCAGTCTTACCGTGGTGGCTCTGGCAGGGGGCGCCCCGTCCCGTAGCGCCACGGCCCCGTCTTTGGGCGGACTGTGCGGCATGTTGAGCATCCACGCCCAAATGTGCGCCTCGGCCCGTGTGAAGCACAGACACAGGCTCGCCATCCACACGCTGGGCAACATGGCCGACAAAATTGGACGAAGGGAGCGAGGTCGAGACGACACAGAGACGAGTTTTACGACTTGTGGTCTGGCGTCTCAGCGGCGGTTGCAAAAATCCGAACGTCAGCAAGTGACAGTGACTGGGGCTCCTCTTCCACTTTTATAAGGCTCCAGCTCGACCCCCCCACGGGTAAACCCCCACAAGTAGCAAGGGAGGAGGAGACAATTAGTTGTTAATGGATTAGCTAAGATGCAGAGTCACCGCCCGACATGTTTCACTGCATATCCCCCCCCAAAAAAAAAAAACAATTTGGGGCCCACAAGCACCCCAGCGCCTCCCCCCAGACCCCATGCCGAGAGCAATTTGCAGGAGTGCACCCTGCAGACGACCCCCCTGATCTCATTAAATGTAATTACCATCAGCTATTAGTTCTCAGGGGGGGAG